GAGTTTTGTCCTGGATCAGGGAATTCTCAACGCTGCATTTGAAAAAAATTGAGATATTAGACAGACCCGCAGGATGTCTGATACCGTGCCAGTGTAAACTTGTGGGTTCGGATAATCCATTATATACATTCACCACAAGCAAATCTCCAGACCTTGCCTCTATTGTAGGCCCAGGAAAGAGGCCTAGAGACAATATTAAAGATGCAAGAGAGAGTTGAACCCGAATGGATACCGGACCATTAATCGTGAACACGGTCTTTTGCACTCCATTGGGCGACAAAACTTCTTCTGCCAAGGTAAAGTTGAGTATAGTTGTGGTTTCTGAGCGTGAACTATAACTTGTTGGAAACAGAAGAAACCTCGAAACTTCCTCTGATGGAAAAAAGGTTGAAAAAGATTGCTTCAAGATCGAACTGAACGGGTAGAGGAGCGCGACGAAGAGTAAAGATAGTGTCGCTGCATATTTCCAGGACAGTATTATCCCCATAACTTTGAGTCAGGTGAAACTTTCATTGCTGTAAGTATATAAGATTAGAGAAGGAAAAGGAACCACAAGGGAACGTGCGCGAAGGAAAGCGGACGGCATTCGTTTGAATGCCTCTCCTTGTGCTTTTACATTAACCATGAAGCCCTTAGAGTTGATTATCGAAACGTGCTCTACAGAGCATATGCTACCAGCTCTTTTATTATTGTCAAAACTTCAACGTGATTTGGCAGGAAGCTTTGCACTTGTATAAGAAAGAATGAGTCGATAGGCCTGGCAGTGATTCACGAAGCCAGGTCTTCAATCTCAAGGATGTTTTCTCTTGCAAATCTCCTTTTTGCGACCTCCCTGGTCACTTCTGCATTTGCAGATAGTCTGGCTGATGTCGAACACGTCGTTCTGTTTATGCAGGAAAACAGAGCGTTTGACCATTACTTCGTAAGTCAATCCGATTGTACGCATTGTGAAATGCAGATCATATCATTCATATCAAGGGCACTATGGCTGGAGTTCGTGGGTTCAAGGATCCAAAGTGAGCTTTACAGCTAGCTCACTATGTATCGTCGATGGAACTGAGGCCACTGCAACGCAGCGTTCAAGTCGATCCCGATGGCCGTTCCGTGTTTTTTCAACGAGTCAACTCCTTCCTCTCAAACGACACCGACTTCCTTCTCCCATGGCACGTATCCGCTGAAGGCGGTGAATTCATCAACGGTACACAATGTATGACAGCTGGATCGAATGGCTGGGCAGAAAACCACGCTGCTTTAGCCTCTGGCCAAAATGCAAGCGTCTTCTATCTTTTCTGATGCTCATCTTTTAGTTAATTTTAGTTTATCTGTCTCACAGGACCTTTGGGTCGAAGCGAACATGCCCCAGTCATGGGGTCATTTCAGGCGGTCAGATATTCCCGTTCATTTTGCTATCGCAGAAGGATGGACTGTAGGGGATATGTACCAACAGGGAGTCATCGCAGTAAGTAGTAGTCTCGCTTTGATCCATGAGTTATTCAGGTTTTGCAGTCCACGAACCCTAATCGCGTTATATGGCAAACTGGCAGTATTGCGTATGTATCGGAGTTGCAAAGAAACCTTTCTGAACGAGTTTGTATCGCAGTGTACCGGGAGGAAATGTGAACACTACGCAGGGCCCTGTGTTAGACAATAATGAAACCCCAGGATGCTCTAGGCTTACACAGAGGCTCGAAAATGGCACAGAGATCGACTCACCACAAAGTTATACCTGGTACGTTTCTGGAAGATAGCTCAAGTCACTTACATTCTAATGAGTAATGCAGTTATCCATTCGACTGGAAGACGGTAATTTAAGCGCGAATCGAAAATTCACGCCATTGATATAAATATTTCCTAGCTCCCAGAATATCTGGAGGACGCGGGTATTTCGTGGAAAGAATTCCAAGCTGTCGACAAGTGCGTATACGATACCTTTTTATCAATTTGTACTTAAAGTTGTCCGACAGTTTTGGTGATAATCCTCTACCTGATTTCGTATTCTGGCAAAATCTGGCGGACAACAATGCAACTTCTGAACTTGCACAGAGAGGTACGTTATATACGATATAGCATTTCATCCGCCGAGTCGCTAAGTTTGGAATCCCGCAGGCTTGGCAATGAATGGAGGTGGAAACTGGCAAGGCGGTCTTGACCTGTTGAAGAAGCAAGCTGCCGAGTACGATCAATCTCATCCTTTTTTACAGATTAAGCTTACCATGGCGTCGAAGGGGAACTCTACCTGCCGTCTCTTTCTACATTGGTAGGTCCTCTATTACGTCCCGCTCTCATAAGTGATTCTTTAAGGTATTTCATACAGGCCCAGCGGAACTTTCTGAACACCCTCCTTACCGTCCCATTGACGGTGGATGGCTGCAAAAGGAAGTTGTCAATGCAATCGTCAATTCGCCCAAATACAACAAAACGATCCTGATCATCTCCTTCGATGAGACTGGCGGTTGGGGTGACCAGTACGTTCAACATTTATAGTACGTTTTACTGCCGAAACTAAGGCTATACTTAGCGTTATTCCTTTCACTTCGTATGCTTAATGAATTCGTCGAATTGCCTCGCAATGCGGTGCTAATGCCTATTCTTCCCAACTAGGCCTGAAAACACCCCAGGCGAATGGATCATCGTGAGCGTCTTTTTCAATCCTTTAACCTCGTTCTCCATTACTTAATAAATAAACCGTACTCTAGAACCCTTTCACAGGACAGCCTGCGCCAACTGGACCTGGATTCCGTTTACCTTTCACTGTCATCTCACCATGGACCCGCGGAGGAATTGTATTCACTGAGCCTTCGGACCATATTTCTCAAACGCTGTTCTTGGAGCAGTGGGCAGCTGCTAAGGTATAGTTATGCTTATCCATTTTCGATCTCAGCAATTAACTCAATTCTTGCCCAAACCAGGGTACACCGTTCACCAATACGCAAATCAACGATTGGAGAAGAGAGCACATGTCTGATCTCACTGATATGTTCGATTTTGGGAATGTATGTGCATGTACTTCTTTACTTGTCCTCTAATAGCTTAAACTTCATTGTGTTCTAGCCCGATTACTCTGCTGCACCACTACCTGATACTCCGCCACCCCACACTGACCCTCTAACCTCATTGCTTGACGGTGTATGCCTCGCGTTCTACGTAACTAATAATTTGTGTGGCTGAATAGTTGTTCTTTCCATAGAACGTATTCTGTGAGCATACCTTCGCAGGACACGTTCAACCCCCTATTCCATACGGGCAACAAACGCAAGCAGACATCCTGTTCACAGAAACGGGTTTCAAGACTGTACGAGGTATTTTCAACAGCTTTAATCTGACTCGATATCTTTACTTACGTATGAACTTCACCTGCTAGGCTCACTCACAGAAGGTCGTTACCTCGTCATCGAATCTAGCTCAAAGAATCTCGCACTGTCTTCTAATGACTCCTCCCTCGGTACCTCTGCAGCTACGAACGACAAGATCAACACGCCTTTTCAGCGTTTCGTAATCCATGCTACAGATTCTAAACTCGCAACGGGGAAGAGCTTTAGAATTTCATCTGCTTCGTTTGTGACAAATGCTACTACTATCAGTAACACCACATTCGCATTCCTTGATGCAAATCTGCAATTCGGGCCTGTAAACTCGAGTGCGGTGTTCAATATCACTTACGAGGGTTCAGGGGTCTACAACTTTTTGGAAACCGGGAGCGGCAAGTTCTTGAGTTTGGGAAATAACGGGACTCCGATGTTGGATGGGGAGGCGGAAGATTTCAAAATTTTCTCGATTTCTTTCTAACGATAACCAGCAAATCCTGTTGTGATACAGAAACAATGTTCATCGTCATCGTCGACCTTTGTGTTTTCTAGGTCCAGTTTATATACCGTAAGACAATGTGTGTGTGGCAAGAGGCTTCATTACTCCATTGAACTTACCTTGCGAAAACTCTTCCCTTGGATCTTATGGAGTTCATGAGAACCATCACCTTTTAGGTGAGCTCATAGCGCCCATCTCTTGTAAAGCGGGCTGCGATTAATTGCCTGGCACTATAAAACTCCACATCGTCCCCTGCTCTCTCAGCTACTGAACCGCTCCCGACGCCACATCCAAATTTCGTCGTCTACTCGACAGCACTATGCTTGTTACCATAGATTCCTGCTGTACTCGATGCAAGCGTCAGCCAGGCTCCGGCGACAAGTGGATGAAATGTTCAGATTGCAAGACGGTATCCTACTGTGTTAGTTGGTAAAACTGTGCCATGTAATGCAGCATTGATAATATCGTCTCATTCTAGTCGAAGAAATGTCAGACACAACATTGGACTGTCCACAGGTCAATATGCAGGCCCTACAGTCCGGACGAGGTCTGGGGTATCAGAATATTGTCAAATAACGGTGCTACAAAGACTGGGGATCCGTCCCAATATTTTCGGCATGAATTAATCAGAGACACAAAGCACGCGATATTTACTCAAGGAGAACGATGTCCTGTCACTAAACGTATTGGCATACCACTGATAATATATAGCACCGGTGTCTGTGAGGCTCATACTACCGGGCTGAACGAGATAGCTGTGAAGTTGAGGGTGGAGGCTACCGATGGTTTCGCTCCAGATATGTGCGTGTTGGATTTTCTTATTCTTCATAAGTGGTACAATAATGCTAACAAGTTTAATGAAGGTGGCTGTATAAACCTGGCGAAGTAAGCGTTGGATGTTCATTGGAAGCCCTGGTAGGCACTGATCTAATTTCTTCATGCTAGTGTCTTGTTATCCGTGAAGATCGAAAGCCGCTGACCCGAGAATTGCTCGAGGCAGTGTACAGCTTCATTAGCCATCTCATGAGCTACCCAATCTTGGACCAAGGCTGGTCTTCATGGCACGGATTGTTGAATCCGTCTGTGTGGCAGATGTACGCAAAGAAATATTACGAAGATCAGGAGAATGCTGGTCGACCGGGTTTTGACTATTATTTCCCTCCGTTGAATTGACCTTTATTTGCATCTATATCACCGCCCCTATTGTCTAATGGCTATGACGTCAGACTTCTAATCACGTGATTATCTGGAGGTTGCGGGTTCGAGTCCCGCTAGGGGTTTTGGTTTATCTTGATTGATTTTTTGCTTCTCAACGTCCAAGAGAACATTTTCCGCTGGACGGAATCATGAAAATGTAGTAAGTGATATATCATGTGACCGCCGATCAACCATATTTCGAATCACATGATATGTCAGTCAAGCTGAAAACGCTGCGTTGCGGATTCGAGTCCCACTAGGGGTTGTTACACGCTTTCATTGCGCGACATATTGTTGTGAATGCTTTGTTGTCTGAACTAGGTACAAACTACTCAGCCATGACAATGCCTTCAAAAGACCCCCTTCATAGCGACAGAATTTGATCTCCCACATGTGCAGCCTTCTCATGAACATCAGAGACCTTATTCTCTACCTGAACCTTAACATTGGAGAACTCGGTCTGAACCTTGTTCTTGGTATTCTCCTTAGCAGTCTCTGCCTTTTTCGCCAAGTCTTTAGCTTTCCGTTGTATTTCTTGACCATACTTGTTAAGGCATGCGATACAACCTGAGGGCTGAAGGAGGTAGCGTAAGGAAACCAAACAAGCAAATATAGGGGAATGCTACTCGCGATGACAATGTTGACGACTGCGCGGGCACAAGAAAGGTCTACTAAGGGATCTGTGCAAGGCGGTCAGGGAAGGTTGGTTGGAATTATCTACTGACAAGCTTACTTGCTCCGAATTCTCCTCCCGCAAACAGACATTTAACACCTAAGTAGCAACAATTTCAACAATCGCCTTAGATGATCGATTTGAAGCCCGTTATACCAGTTTGTCCGAATTCTAACGCACAAGCTAGGATATATTGGCACATTAAATAGAAGGCTTCTAGCAAATACGCACATGATTTGGTCGAACCTATACATGAAGAAGAATCGCGAGGATCGAGCACCGCGTATCCATCCGCAAGCTCCTCTTTGAGTACTTCATGCAACGGTAGTGCTTTAACCAATGTAGAGGTTAAAATGAGAGCAATGCAAGATATTAAGAGCGGAATATGATGGAGATGCATCCTTGCAAAGTACCGATAACAACAAATGAGTCCAATACTTGGTCGAACTAGTGTCCAGCAATAGTCGAAAAGTCGTTGTGATCGAGGAACATGTCGGTTATATAACAAAATTTGAAACCAAAAAGGCAATGCATTTTCTCCTTGGCCTCTTGGCTTCTTGTACCGGCGGCCGACGAATATGGAGGCAAAGGGCCCCAGCAAGTTGCAAAAAAAAAAATAACCAAGGGTATCCAAATAAAATTACATGTTATGATATCGAGTCATGGACAACCTGAGTATGCATTTACAGTACGATAGTGGTCTCAAAAGTCTGAAGATCAGATCAAACGAGAAAAAGAAAATCTTTCAAACTTTCTCCAAAGTCCCAAGATGATGCTCCACCTCGTCGACAGACCCAGACTGTTTCTTGTTTTCGTCGCGATGGCCCGCTGCGTCCAGTCCTTGGCCAAGAATCTCTCTCGTTGCATCCTCGCCATCGAAAATCGCAGCGGTCTCCTCCAACGTGAGGTTCTTCGTTTCGACAACATCTACAAAGACAGATCATTATTAGAAGTAATGGACAGAGAGAGCGTTGACGCACATAGATAAAGGAAGACACATTCAAAGGCAATCCAGCAGCAATAGACGATATAGTACTTCCATTGGATAGCGGCTGTTCATTATCGTAAGACGGTGATTGGTTACTTCGAGGATATATCAGTACTCACCGAGAGCGATAGGATTTGCGTATTGATTAAATATCAATGCCAGTGAGATAGTGAAATTAAAGATTGTGAAGCCTTTGGCTCGAAGAGGGTATGGTAGAATTTCGACAGTGTAGGCAACGATTAGCGGCGTGAATGCAATACTGCGAGGAGCATCAGCTATGCATCAAGTGGACTCATTTCAAACACGTACTCATAGAAAGCGTAGAACAGGAATATGAATGCAATAACACTGTGAGCAGCGGCTGGGTGACTGTTTATCTCAAATTGCGCAAATGAAATTGTTTGTGCAGTGAAGAAAACGAGCATGCCAACGCCAGAGAGCAAGAACATGAAGCGACGGCCGAGTCTCTCGACTAGGCTCGACGCTATGAGCGCACAAATCAAGTTCCAGATAGCTAGAATTCCGTTGATGAGGAGCTAGATAAAGCTGAGCCAAGGAACCAAACAATGAATTTCCAGTTCAAATACCTGCGTCGTTGAGTCTTTGATATTAATGTCATTGAGGATCTGGTTCAGGTAATATGATGCTAGACCATTTCCAGACCATTGTGAGAAGAAGGCAATTGCAATGATAATCCTCATTCGCTTTCGGTTTCCAGGTGTGTTGAACAACGATTTCCAACCAACATTTGCGGCAACTGCAAAATTAAGTGAATTGTGAACATCAGAATTATTTGATTCTCAACAGTCTCACCTGTTCGGTCATAGTCAATCGCGGTTTTGATTTCGTTGAACTCATACTTTATCAGGGGATCATCACTGTAAATCGTTCGTGATCCGAGAAGGAATAATAAGACACCCAAGCGTACCGATTGCCGTCAGCATGGTAATAAGCAAGAACCTCAAGTGCTTGTTCGTCCTTCCCCTTACTAAGGAGATAACGAGGGGACTCCGGGACAAACCAGATCAGCAATACTTGAGCAACCGAAGGTAATCCTTGGAGGATTGAAGGTATCCGCCATGCCCATGTGCTGTTGATCTTAAACGTTCCGAACGTAGTCCAAGCCGCACTGTAGGATTATATAAAGAAAGCTCTGCGACTTCATGAAGGTGCTACTTACATGATAGCACCAGAGTACCACAGGGAATTATACGTGGCAGTTAACTGTGCACGGTATAGAGGATATGAGATTTCGGAAACCAACATCGGAGCAGCATTTGCTGAAATAATTTCGTATGTCAGTTTGCATCAAGAAAGAGAACAGGGGACGCACCAGCGAAGGTAAGTCCGAAGCCTATCAAGAAACTTTCCAAAACTTCAATATTACCACAAACGAACCGGCTCAGGATTAACGTACCGGGCTCCAACGAACATTCCTTCCGACTGTGAAGCCCCCTGAAGAGCCGTAGCTATGCACATGATTAGAGCACCGATGAAGACAGTGGGGCGACGTCCAATGCCATCGGAAAGGTAAGGAGCAAAGGGGTAAGCCGCTAAGGCACCAATGTTCTGGGATTATTTAAGCTTTCGGAGCACAACCGAGAAATGGCGAACTGACCTGAATAGCGTTCAGTAGGCCGAGTTCATGAGCACCAGGGTGTTTGAAGTAATCCTGCCATTGACTCCTGTAGTTTCATTAGAACTTGGTTGGCTCGGAGTAGGTAAGGGAATATATTCTTCACAGAGATTGAAGACCATTCATCATACTTCCGTCGTAACCATTGGTCGAAGACGTGATGAGTCTGTACATATAATCATAAGAAATAAGTTCGCGAGGGTACCGGAAGGCGACTCACAATAAAAAAATCCATCCATTCAAAGCAATCAGGCTACAAAAAAACTTTGAACACCCAATAATTCCCCTGCAGAGCATTCCGGCTCACCGCTTGTTGTTGTACCATTTCTTTCTTGGGTCGAGAAGATGGTTGATCGCAGAGTCATGAGCAGCAGAGGACACCGCACCAGGAGCCATGACGGTAAACTACTTCGAGCTGGGAAAGCGAATTGTTTGGCGTGCGGAATCCTGCAATATATAGTACCCGCCGTAAACTTTGGAGGGCTATAACGAACAGGTGACCTAATCGCTTAATTCTCCAGAGGTACTCCGGAGAGAGTCCGCGTCCCGCGCTAACTGAGAATAATCAATGTGATTGAACCTAGGAAATCGCAAGCTGTCCAGATTCTGTCGGTAGTGTCAATCGTCATTCATTGAAGAACCTAGAATGTGCTGGGAAGAATTCTCGTACCGGTTCCCAAGGATTATCATACCATTGGGTCGATGTATATCCTTGGAGCAGGCTGGTCCCGAGCTTAATTTCCCGTAATGGCAATTCTCGAACATTCTCTGCAAAAAATCTAACGAGTCCTTGTACACGTACCCCGGATTGTTATTTACCACAATTGCGGGGAATTTGCAATAACGTCTGGGGAAGATCAGTCGTCTGATCAACGACTCCCGCCGGTAAGACACTACGGGACTACGGAATATTGGAATGTTTCAATATTGTTTTCAGGACATAGTCTACAGATCAAGGTATTCAAATAACAAAAGATCATGTTGTGGGGAGTAGGTTGTGAAATAAACAAATTCGGAGAAATCAGAAACGTTTCAGTATATCGCTGGCAGCGGAATCTGAAGGACGAAGGGAGCCTGCGGCGGAAGGGTTCTCTACTATCGACAAATGAGCAGGATCAGCTTTCTTTCTGCTGAACCAAGAAGAGTTCCAGTACGATGTTGATGATCCCGTTGGGGCCTTTGAGGAAGCAGCAATAGCTTCCGTATTTGTCAAAGGAGAAGCCCTTGGAATATGAAACGAGGACGGCCGAGAACCCTGATAGCTCGTAGTCCTATTCCGGAAATGTTTTTTTAACGTACTTGCCATATTTGATGGCGAAGCACCCGGCGAAGGAAACGCAGTATCATCTCGTCTGTCGCTAACACCTGCAGAAGAAGGAGATGATACTAGGTTCTGGCTCGACAATGCGATGGTCGGATTGGCTTTGTTCGTTGATGAACCGGATGACACACTTCCGAACGGCGCGATACGACCGCCAGAAAATCTGGACGTAGTCGAAAGGCGAGAGGCGCGGGAACCTGGACGTAAGGGTGATTGTGGACTCAAAGCCTGGGGTGAGCTAGTGATCTTGGGAAGTGGAGCGGAATCCAGAGGCAGAGACGGAGAAGTTGGGGAATTGGTTTGGTTGTAATCTGCAGTAGGGAACGGTTGTGGAGTCACTTCTGCAGCTGGCGATTCCGGTGATGCTTGGGCTAATAGCCGTGATAATGAAGATGGTCGGGCATTACTAGGCGAAGAATTGGAACGAGCACGGGAGGCGAGAAGATGTGAAGATGTTGTTGGTGC